TTGCACCAATGAAGCAAGCTCTTCTTCAAGTTGCTTGGAAGAACGGCCTTCCGTTGTTCATGCTCTCATCCTGTGACAGTGAAGTATTTGCTGCAGCAATAACAATGAGAAGTATTATTAGCAATTATAATGACCTAGAGTGCATATATAAGATATTCTCTGTAAATGGTTCAAAGAAGAAAACCATGTTCTGGAGCAGCCCCGGAAATAAGAGCAAGAAGCATCAGTTGATCTCCAATGTTGTTGGCCAGTTGAAGGTTTCACTTCGCAACTTGAGGAGCCATGAAGGTGACAGTTCTCATGTTATGAGAGAGTTTGTTTTGCTTGGTGCTGAACAAGCAACTGCTGACTCTTCTGCTATGAGCGAGCTGGCTGCCATTGTTGTTAAGGTGCCACCACCTGTGGATAAGTCCGATACCCCCACCCGAGCAGGCCACAGTAATTGCGGAGCAAACTTATCAACAAGAAATGTAAGTGCTTCAAATGATGAGAAGCGTTTGCAGACTGATCAGCATAATGATGATCTATGTCAATCTGGTATCTCCGTCATGCTTCCAAGCGGGGTTCATGGCTTGTCGACCGATGGTGAGCCCTCACCTCTGATAGAGAGATGGAGATCAGGAGGAGCATGCGATTGCGGAGGTTGGGATGAGGGTTGCTTGCTGACTGTTCTTACCGACAAGTCCGGAAAGTGCAATACCTTTGGTTCAGACCAAGGTTGTCAAACTACAGATGGAACTCATAGATCTGAACTGTTCACTCAGGTATGGCAGTTTTATTTACTGTCTGTTGCTTTTGCTAGTAGCATCGGTGTTTCAGTAGATAACACTAGTAATCGAACTGTTTCAGGGTGGATCACAAGAAAAGAGACTTGCCTTCAGCATTGTATCTTTCAGAGAGGGGCTGTACACTGTTGAATTCCTATCTTCCATGTCAATGCTTCAGTCTTTAGCAATATGTATGGCAGTCCTCCATGGCAGGAAGACTGACAGTCCTTCAACAGAGCCAAAAATCTTACAGGAACACATTGTGAATGATCAATCAGGGAAAGCTCCTGCTGGAGCCCAAGGTGGTGATCCTAATAGCTATGTACCAAATCATCCACCTGTGTCACCTGTTGGGAGAGCTTAATTTAATTGTCTTCTTGATACAATTTGTGCCTGTGCAGATGTTTCTTGTGTTGTTAGATACTCACTGTGGTGGAAGGTGATAAAAAACACTGACCCCCATTTACAGTTATCCCCAGTTTGCTGGGACCAAACGCCAAGCATCATGGATCTGTGCCTGTACAAAGTGTAGTAGTTCTCTGGCCACTGAGAGAAGAGGAACTTACATCTCATTGAACAATGACTCATCTGTAACGTGTAAAGAAGCCTGAGTTCTTCAGTAATACATGAGGAAGCTATGTTTGATAAGAAACATGATACATTGTCATCTAACAGAGGCACAATTATATGCCACCTATCACTCAGGACCAGTCATGTTAAGCAGCATTATTCAATAATTAACATATGCACAATTATATACAGTCAAGAGATCAACACTCAAGGAGATAACAACAAAGTTTGAAATCCCAACTTCTTGTCTGTCTGTGCACAATGCGCACTAATCGTCTGCAGAATTCCAGTACAATTTTTCCGACCAACACATGTCTAATAACACAATCATATTGACTAATTCCAAAAGCTGGCAATTACCAGCTGCAAGTTCAACACAATCATACTGATTTTACAATCCAAAGGCTTTCGATTAACAGTTGCAAGTTTATTTGATGCCAAGAAAGTCAACGCCATTAAAAATACTAATCATCAAAGGTAAGAAGTGTTTGTTCCTCAAACAAATTTATCTTAAGGTTGCATATATCTCAAGTTATGCCGAATGTGATTGCATAACCATTTGATGTATGTTGCTGACGGTGAAATAGCTTTTCAGTCTGAAAAAAGGCATATCAGATGCTTCACATTGGAGGCCTGTTCGAACCAAGTAGTTGCCCAACTATATTTGTCACCTGAAATACCACAATACTGGAGACTAAGATCACTGAACTTTAAGAATGACCAATCGGTCAAACACTTGAAAGAAGGCGAACTGATATCACACATTATATTGCATATATCGATGTCAACATACCAGAGATTATATGTAGGGTGTTTTTTTTCTAAATTTAGATGTATCGATGAAAGTCTTTGCACAAAGATCATTTAAGTAAATACAACATTACATAAGGATCAGCAACTCCAAGTATCTTACCTGCCAATATTTTGAAACGCATCGATCAATGCAACTGTTTTCACCCATGTTGAGCTCAGATTCCTTGTACCTGAGGGAATATATTGAGAGTACTTGTTAGCTAATCAGATGCTCAGTGCAGACAACAATATTTGAAATTTTAATTCTTTAAAGGAAAAACAGAATAGATTTCCACACTAGAAAAAAAAAATATTCCAAATAATTCTTAAGATCAAAATACATCAATCTATCATCAAAATATCAAATACCATCAAAATAAAAGCTATGAAATTCCACCAGAAGAAATGGTTGAAGCATAGCATACCTTTTCTCGATACATTTATCGAAACATGTCTGTGTGAGCCTGTTTCAAGAATAAAGAGAAACTACTCAGATGGTTCTACTTGTGATCCAAGATAAATCATATAACTAGCAGTAAACGAACCTGCATGTTAGTTGATATTGCACTACTCATAAATCATTTGCAGGAACCTTCCACTTCTTCCAAGTAGATAAAATATGGTAATGAGTAAAATTCAGATTCAAGTTCAGAATATCAAGATTTTGTGACACAACGGTAATGCTAAACTTGAAATAATGCATAATATTTACCTTAAAGGTAACTAAAACTATGGCCTCTCATCAAAACCATACCATGTTGTGTAAGAAGAAAAGCGTGTGATTTGTTTAACAAAACAATGGAAAGAGAGCAATGATGTTACAATTAGCAATACAATTCCAAGGGCCATGATGTGAGTGGCATGCCCTAGTATATAACCGGGCCGTGCAGCATCAGCACTATTTGGCCCCCACCAGCATTTGGCCAGGCTGCCACAGTAATCCAGGGTCTGGGCCAGCTCCTGTGGGAACCCATACAAGCCAGATAAAGCCCGAGGCAACTGTGATGCACTTCTCTGAGAAAGCAGAGAGATGAGCTTGAAAAGTCTACAAAGCAAAAAAGACTCAGAAAACCACCAAAGTCATTAGCAGATTGACAGCAGAAGGAATCTAAGCTGAAAGGATTGTTATCAGCCTGAACCACAGAGGAAATGGATCAAGCCATCCTAGGGAAGTGACCAACCAGCCACGTACCCATGAGGACAGGGCCAGCTAACCTTACAACAGGCACTGGCTCCAAAACCAATTATGGGGTCAGTGAAGGCAGGGCATAAGCATGGCAATTCAAAGAGGCCTTTTCCCCTAATAAGTTATGATTGTAGCATATAGTTTTTGTACACACAAGCTCCAAAGAAGTCTGACTCTTGGCTATTTTGTTCTCACCATAGTTCGATTTCTCATACGTTTCATGCCCTAGTTAGAAAGGTGAAGATTAAGATAATACAAAGCAAGGAACCTAGCCACATGATACACATGAATTAATGGAGCATGACAAACATCAACAGCATATCGAAGCAAAGACACTGCTAGCTAAGTAATACTTAAAGGCTGTTTACCTGTTGAAGAGATCCACCCTGTACTCCATTTCTTTCTCTGCCATTCCAAAAATCTGCTCAATTAAAATAAAAGTCTGTCAGATACTTTCATAGGCAAAAAGAAATAAAATGGTGAAATGACCTTTCGTAGACATGCTAGTAAAAATATCACTATTCATCACTAAAAAAAAGAACAGAGCTTCCAAGGTCCATATCCAACGATAAGAATCATCCATTTCACTGAACAAGCTAAGGAAAGCTTACATGACACAATAAGGTTTATGTACCTGCTCTTTCTCGATGCTGCTTGCGCCATTTTTAGCAGCCATTGTGGAGCTTATCAAAGATCCTGATAGATATATCACAACAAATGTTATGCCGTAAATCTTCCAGCGAAAACTAAACAAGATAAGAAAGGAAAAAGGCCCAAGTGAACTATCAAGAAAGAAAGGGGTGCATGCTACACGAATACACTGCCCGAAAACAAATCCAGACCGAAGACGAGATCCTCATACACTACTAATCCTTTTAAACGAACAAAGAATCACAAGGACCAAGTTACTTCGTAGAAGTAGCGCATCGAGATTGTCTTGGAAACGATCAAAGAAACAGAGGTCATTCTTGCTCAAGAAAGTGCAAAATTTTGTTTCCTGCAGCAAAGAGAACGGAAGAACGAGAGCGAAAGCCTTACGGTCGTAGAACGCAAAGCCGCCGATGGATGCAGCGGCGGAGGAGAGCCCGAGTCGCAGCGGGACTAAGGTTGTTGCTCTTTGGCGGTGCCCGTCATCTTTTAGGGCTTCTCATAAACAACCGGTTGGGCTCACCAAGTCGGTGTCGAACCAACCTAACCCTAGCCGACCGGGTTTCGTCGGATTAGGTCCGCGGCACAGACGCAAATCTTGTGTCTGCACACCATATGCTCGATCTATTGACACCAAGAATCACTGATAGGTCTATCTATCACGACACACAAACGACCTTTATACCCACCACACGTTAAGAAACTGATATCCACTTCAGTATCGTATGTGCACATGCCCGAAAGTATTTAATTCCTTTTCATTAAATAAACGATTTACTATTGCAAAATTTGAATGGATACATTGGATTATGTATAGTGTTACTAAATAATAATCTACATTATTAATTACATGTACAAACAATCACAAAATGTGAATTATCACAAGTTGCGTTACATGATCTCTACATTACGTGAATGTTTTGATATAGAATGGTAAACTTAGAAAACATGAGATTTTAATGTTCTTTAAACTAAACTTATATATGCATTACTGGCTCACTTCACTAGAAATTTCTCTGTAGCACAGGCAAGACAGGTTGCATGGATCCTCAATCTTTCTTCAATCAAAAGCTACAGATATAAAGAAAGAGCAATCAACTTGTCCATCTGCCTCTGAGCATTCATAGACTGCTTACAGTAAAAAGAAATAGACCAAATAATCTTTGGTCTGCAGACATGAAACACATCATGATCATAACAAAAAAGTGGGGGTTAGCTCATGGCTTCATGTCATCATCCTCCTCGATCTTGGGTGCCAGGTAAAACCTAATGTATCCCATCTCTGCAATCTTGTACTCGACCACCACAGGCAGATCAGACGAGAGACTGATGGCCACAGTCTCGGAGAGTGGCGTTGCCTTGGTGAAGGAGTTCAAGTACCTCAGAGCAAAGGTTAATGAAACGGGCTCTTGCATCTCTATGATGGTGGCTTCCTCAGGCTGTACCATAAAATTGAAATGGTTAACATTCGTACAAGCATTATACATTTACATTCATAGTAGGTAAACTCATTCCAAACAATTCATCTTTTTTTCTCATTTTTGGGTACATTCAAAGATTAAAATGAATGCAAATGACTAAAGATTGATGTTAGTCTGTGGCCTGTTTAAGAATATAGACTACATCCAATAGATCAATGGCTTCCTGGGACGAAGCAAGAACAAGGTACCTTGTCCACAGTCTTGTTCTGCCTGCAAACGATGTTTGCAGTTCCAATGTCTCCTGCGGTCGAAAACTTCACACCTTCCTTGGTCACTGAAATGATCACTGCCAGTTCCAGACCACAGTAAATAAACTACATGAGCAACACAATAAAGACTTGAAAGAGAGTTTAACTAAGGTAGCTACAGTACCAGTGTCCCCAATGCTGCTCAGATCCTTGCATATCCTTGCAAATTCTGAAGACGGCATCCGAACAATAGCTTGGTACTCTGCGTCCGGAATGCCAAGATGCTCGCTGTCGATGTCCATTAGCTTCATCTCGAAATCGGCGATCTTGTCTTGATCTGCACAAAATCGGGAGAAATGAGTTTAGAGAACACAGAAGGTAATAGATCCAGACAACAAGAACATGAGCGGTTCTTGTGAGCATCATGCGAGTTAAGGATCCTATTACAGAAAAAACTGGCAAAGTCTAAGCAGAGAGATCAAGATATGCACATGTCGGACTTTGGAGAGATGATTAGGGTGAGATAGGGGTCGATCGTCGTACTGGGGCTTTCAAACATGAAAGTGACGGTGTCGCTGCCGTCATCGGCCTTGACGGTGATGATGTCGTCGTTGCCGGCGCAGCGGAGCATCTTGGACACGTTGTTGAGGTTCATGCCCATGGAGAGGTTGCGATCGCAGCGGTAGTGTTCGAAGCCCTCGGATCGGAGGAGGAGAGCGACGAGGGCGACGTGGCTGGAGTCCATGGCCTGGAGGGAGAAGCCGGTGGCGGAGCAATCGAAGTTGGCATCGGTGACCAACTCCCTGATTGATTCCAGCACCTTCTTCAGGAGGCTGCCTTGAACCAACCGCAACTCCAACATCTTCTCCTTCTTCAGGCGATGTCGCTGGCCGAGGATAGAGGGGTTCCGTTTCCGGGTGGAGAGGGTTGCGAGTGATGGGGCGAGGCCGGGGACGGGAGGAAGAGGAAATAGGGCAATTTTGGCGGGAAAAGCAGCCGCTTTCCCTCCATTTGCACTTGGTTGGCGGTCTTTTCTCCGGAAAAATTCCGGCAGATGGCGAACTGACAGAAATGCCCTCTAACAAATTCAAACCTACAGGGAAGGACGTCAATTACCAAAATTATCCTCAAACCAAACCAAGTTTGAGTAGATTGACAAAAGCATCTCTATATCTACCACCAATTTAACTACAGATTTTTTTTCCTGATATAGAAAAAGGAGTAATCTTTAACCAATAAGAGATCTCGGAATTAACTAAAAAGAACGGGCGATATCTATTCCTGAAACAACATTAATTACATCAACAACATTTATGAGGATTCCAAAATTAGAAAAATGAAACTCGGTATCCATCCTATTTAACGAAAGGAGTGGTCATTTACACAAAACAGCCCCTTTCCTCCAAGCCAAGCACCCTATTAATGGTTCAATTGGTTTATTCTTATTCATCTCAGAAACAGTTCCGCAGCTCTACTGGTTGAAAGCGGAAGGCTTGAGGATCCTCCCACGTTATGATATAGATTTAGATGTTGGAATTGAAGGATTCCAATTTAGAGTACAACTAGAGATGATCATCACACGAAGGTGGAAACGCAGGTTCTTTTTAGGGACGTAGGAAACTTAAAATGCCTATGTCTGATGAGAGACATTGTAACACAATTTCATTGCACGAAAAGGTGAACATATGGAAATATCACGATGGACAGCATGGCATGACAAGCACAAAAGCATGCACAACTTGCTCAAATAAGTGAAAATTCAACTACAGAAATTAGTGGCCGACAAAATTCAACTACAGAAAATCTTAGTCTCCCTGTAGGATCGAGCAACCTTAAAATATGCAGATTTGAAAGATGGATGAACCTGACAACAATAACAATTTAGAAGACCAGTTTCTCTTGGATAAGTTCTGCCACAGATTCCACATGATGAATGAAAGGTAAATCAACAAGGAGAAACAAGATGGCAAATGTCTTAGCAGATCAAGCGGCAAAGGCGGAAGCATAGAATACAGAATTATTTGCCACTGAGATGGTAAATAGCTGCAAGATTCAACAGAACTAGAGATCTGGGGCGGTTGCTGCTGCACGCTTAATCGAAGCAGACTTGATTAGATGGTTGTAACTTCCCTTTTCCTTAAAAAGCTGGGAGAAATGGTGCTTGCAATAGAGGATCCCTTCAAGAGCTGCATAGTTTGAAGGGGTAATCGAGCAGCCTCCATGAGAACATTTGAAACAGGACTTGTGATATGCCTGTCCTTCAACAGTCACCTGACAATAATAACATCGGTATCAGCCAAAGCAGAATATGAAGTGTATCTGTTTGCAAGAGAAGTTCATCGTTGCAACAAAATACTGATCGTAAGAAAGGAACAACTATGATGCATACTTAAGAAAGTTGGATGTGTTGTCCTTCTCTAGAAAATTTTACTTCAGGACATAATAGTTGGATGTGTTATCACATTTTACTTTTTCTTCATGACATCATTCCGGGTGGGGTAATTTGGAGATTTTAAACATGGAGCAGGGGATAATCTTGCCCAAGGAACTCTTTTACCAACTAAATTAGACTCAAATCAGTTGTTCATGGCCTTAGTAGAAGAAGAGAATTCTTTTAGCTAATGTGGCATAAATGTCTAATCAATTGAGTTGACAACATTAGACCTTTCATAAATGAAAAATCCTAAAAATATGAAAAAAGCAACAACATAAATTGTAAAGTCACCAGAAATCATTTCCAGGACCAAAAAATTTATTATGACCATAAAAACATACATGTGGTCCATTCATTTATTGCAGATATTGGATCAAATTGTTTATACATCCACATCTGTACCTACAGAACAGCCCTTAAACAACTCAACCGTTGCTAGGATCAGCTAAAAACTTCATGAGACAGAAATATATTAAAATTAGAGAAAAAGGTACTGGTACCTAGTTGAAATATGGTCCCATGTCTTGCAATGTATAGACTCAGAGCTAGAAATATGGAGACAAAACAATGTGGAAACAGTAAAAGGGAGCCAGATTATGCTTGTTCTATGTTAAAAACTAAGCAAGCAGAGCACATGAATAATTGGGTCAGTAGATACACATCTGCTTCATTTTACAAAACAGAAACTTTCATGGTATGTAGCATCAACCCTGTTCCTAGTTTTTAGCATTAGAAAGATTTGGATTAATGTGGCATCCATCACTAAGCTGGCCCAAAAATCATCCAATTGGCAGACTCAATTGAATCTAGTATTAACAAAAAATATGCCAAGTTTTACTGGTTTAGTTTCTTCTGTCGGATTCAATCTTAATAAAGAACACAAGTTTTGCAGCAAATAACAGAAACGATGACGGAGATAACAACAAAATGAAAAATGACAATTCTTCACTGAAAGCTGACAGGTACACAGTCTCATACATTAAAAGTTTCAACAGCATGTCTAATGCAAGTAACTGTATTCTTCAGAAAGGCCCTTAGTCAAGCTAGTTGGAATAACTTAAAAATACACCAAGTGTCCTCTAAAACAACTAGAGGATGGTGAAAAGAATTTTATTTTTCAAGATAAATCACCACATAGCAACAAGGCTAGGTTTCCCATGTCTAACCTTGTGGTGGAGAGAATTTTAGGACTTTTGTTATTAAGATGATATAATATTTTCTCAGGCTTTTGCTAATGCATACAACCAGTCAAAATGTGAACAAATACATTTTAGAACAATCAATGACAATTGCCAGTAATTTTTAGAAACAGACCAACTCATCCAGAAACATGACATCAGGTTTACTTATTTTCAGAACTCAATCCTACAAGTTCTTCAGTATCGAATTAGGAAGTGAAAAGAAACAAGAACTGATATCTAAATAACAGGTGAAGTATTGCTCAAGAAATAAAGACAGTTAAGAGATATGGGCCTAGACATGAAAAGATGATGCCGATTGACACCTACATTGAGTCTAGTCAGTAACCTCCACCATAATGCTTGGTTTCAGAAATTCGTAAAGCAGATAAGATAGTTTGAAGGTCACCACACAGTATACAAGAAAAGATGACCATATGATTTTATAATTATCATACATATGGCGTCCACATTTTTGGGCTTCCTTTGTATGGATATATAACTAGAGCTACTAAATGGAACAACTTAAAATTAGATTATGCACTTACAGCAGAGTGACATGCTTTTAATAGCAAAACTGTTTGATGAGTCCTGTTCGTATTAGATTCAGAGTAAACTGAACTTTACTAGATTGAAATCATGTAGAATACCTAACCATATGGCTAACATAAGACTAGAGGAATAACTAGAAACTATCAACGTGGTCAAACCTTTTCAAGAGGATATGCTGTTTTCGTGCAAGTGGCACATTTTTCTTGTGTTCCTGAAAACATACTGGCAGCTTTGCTGGTAGACCTAGTCTGAAGTCAAGATATGTTAGCCATATTAAATAGCAAACCACAATTTTGGTTAATTTGAAAATGTTTTTACAATAAGAAATTAAGGATAAGTGACTTGGAGACAAACAGGGCAGAAAGTGGTGGTGGAAACACTGAACTTACCAATTCTGGGGCTTTTTCAGCTGATTTTGCAGCTGCAAAACAGGAAATATGTTCATAAGTTCAAGCATTATGAGAAAATTACACAACTATATCAAAGTGTCTTTGTTGAACCCTCACGTGACTGAAAATTCTTGTTGAAGTTGCCAGATTCTTTGAAGAGCTGTTCAAAATGAGGCTTACAATACAAAACACCTTCCATTGAAGAATATGTACTTAGCTGACAAGAAAGAACAATAAATTAGAAACATAAACAATTTGTCTCTGCTCCAAATTCATGTCGAAAGAGTATTTAGGGTAAAATTCCAAGTACTTCAGAAAATTTATTTCTGAATTAGAACGCTTGCCCCTAGGTTGTTATGCCTGCCCAGTTCTTTGATTCAGGATTGAAAGGTTGATTTCTCTTACTGAATATGGTTAGGAACCAAAGGCACTTCTACATGTAGTATCCACTTGAAACAAAAATGAACTTACATCTCAGAGTTTGGTTAGGAAGTTGGTATGCATAATATGTGTTCTATTTGTAACTATGAAATATGATGGTCAACATCATACTGCATTTATTCTATTAATCCATTGTGTGGATGACTCTTTCTCTTATCCGCATGAATCAATGAGAAAACCCAAGGAAAAGCCGAAAAGGCAAGAAGTTCCATGATCTTAATAATCACCAATTCTGCATTTCCAAACTCTTTGATGGTCATCACAATATATGGTCTTTGTCTTCTGTTGAATCATAGATAATTCAACCAAAGCTCCAGGTAATCCTTTAACAATAATCTTGCCACTATGTTCGGTCAAAAAACCTTTCCAGATTATTGGCTGTACCTCAAATAAGTCCTATGTGGCTCTTGTATCTCCGACGCAAATTGACTAAAAATAATCAACCATACCAAGAGTGCTATCCTAAAGACAGATTCAGGATTAAAAAACAATAATTTGCAGAAAGATATTTAAAATGGACTTGGCGATCTGGGATGTATTAAGATGGTAATCAGCTAAAAATATGGAGGTAAATTTGCTATCTTGGCATGATATGAACAAAAGGCAGCCGCAGCAGCAACAGCAGCATGGAGTTCTCGGCCATCGTAGTGAATTCAGCTAAGCCTTTTAGAAGACCTCCCACGAATAGCAAATCTGGGAGATCGATCAATGACGACCAGTGCCGATCTTTCCATTGTCGGAACAAATCGTACGAGGCCGGCACGATCAAACTCCTTAATATCGATGCCAACCATTATTGGAGATAGATCATGTATATTATAGAAATATTCACCAGAAAAAAAAAATCCCGGAAAAGAAAAGGAAAAGGGTAAGAAAGGATACCGTGAGGGTTCCTTTGCAGTGGTTGCACTTAAAGCAGGACTTGTGGAAGACGACGCCATCGGCGGTCAACTGATCCATCAGGTAGACCGTCTTGTCGCAGGCCTTGCATTTCTGCTGCGTGCCCGTGAAGTTGAACGCCATCTCGTCTCTTTCCTTGTCCCTTCCCTCCTTCTAAGCCGACCGATCGATTCCGGACCCAAGTCGGCAAGAAACGAATCGGGATTCCGCTGCTGGTTGCCGCGGCCGCAGAGGATAAATCCAAAGAGGGCACGAGATGGAAAGTGCGGAAGCGATGGTGGCGATGATGACCAACGTGAATAGAGATGAAAACTCGATCGCCCATGCGGCCATGGGATCCTCTATTTGGCCGAGTCCTCGAATTGACTTAGACGGACCCCCAGCGCCGCGACACGTAGCCCACGGGGTCCTTGCGTCCGACAAGTCCACCAACTCCTTCGCGCTTTAGCCAGCTTTTTGGTTCGCGGCGCTCCAACTCCACTTACTTTATATACGTGTAAAGGAAAAAACCTACCCTGCTATACGTACTCCGACTTCGTACCCTTTGTTTCATGAACTGCACGTCAGAGGGCGGACTCATTGGTGGTGTAGGTGCAGAAAATAGTAGGTGACACTAACGTTGGAATCTAATAAGAACGCACTTGCAGACGATGAGGACGCGGAGACAGCGAGCCGACGAGCTGGAGATGATGCTTTGACCCCCCGGCTGTTAATGATCGATGAACATGACCTACTACCCATGTGGCAACTGGAGACACCGTATTGGGCTCCACCGGAACACACGAATGAACCTATCAGCAACTGCCTCGTGTAAAAGTAATATTGTGATCTTGTCCTCTATGAATTATATTTATGAGATGTGATAAGAATATATCTTATAAATATACAAAGCATGATGATGTTGATTTATGTCAATTCTTAATTCACTTCTTCTCTCGTGTCAGATAAAATCTTTGAAATTGAAGTATTCTTGTGGTATTGTGGTGTAATCGACGTACAATTTTGGTAATGTACGATTTACACTCACCACGAGCTGACGACAAATTGTGGTGTAAGCGGAATCTTTGTTTGACTTCATTTATAGAATTGTTGTCGACGGCAAGTCTCTTTCGCTAAACACGCACGTCTTTATAAAATATAATATATCGGAGGAATATTTTTATTATTTTATGATTATAGTTTCAAAATTTATAATATCCAATAATATATTTGAAAAGCGATGCATTCGATGGGTAAGAAAGGAAAAGAGGAAGCAGAACGTTGACGAAAACGCTCCAAAGACAGCACTCAGAAGCTTAGTTATTCGGAGTAGGATGTGCTCGGTTTAAACTAATTAGATCAACATGTTACAAACGTAATCGACGGAAATAGCAACTCAGATTTACTCACCCCACGAATTACACCGTGGTTAATTATTTCCGCGTCACTGAGGCCGCGGGAGGGGCCCGCGGACGAGGTAGACCCTGGCGCGGATCACCGATCCGTCACCAAGCTTAAAGCCCGGCCCGACCGGAAACCCAACAACCAAGCCGGGCGGCACGCGCCCTCCCGCAAACCGGACGACGCTCTCCATGTAGCGAGGATGGAAGTCCGCCCCCCTGCTCGCCTCGAAGTGGGACGGCGCCGGGTCCAGCGCGAAGGCCAGCAGGTGGAGCAGCCACACCGCCTTGGCCAGCCGGAGGAACTCACTGTAGAACCCCGTCCGCGGATGCGCCCCCTCCAGCACTTGCCGCCGCTGCTCCGACCCGGCGCCGAACAGCGACTCCTCCAACTTCGCGTGCACGACAGCCAGGTACTTGCTGGCCGCGAATCGCCCGAAGGGGCACCTGGGGAGAATGCCCAGCAGCTGCTCCGGTTCCATCCCCCGCATGTCCCGGAACTGGGTAAAGCGGTCGCGCCGGAACTCCGCCGGGTTGATCAGCGAGCTCAGCGACCCCTCTAGGTAGAATGTCTCGTTCTCAAACCCTTGGAACAACTTGCGGTTCACGTACGACTCCAGGGCGTACTTGGCGTCGCGGGGCTCCAGGTCGGGGATGGCCAGAGGACGGTATTCGGCGTCGTCGCCGCCGCCTGCATCGATGATGGTCCTGACGGCGGCGACGATGTCCCAGCGGGCGGAGCGCATGAGGGAGAGGAGGTGGCCGGTGAAGGACTTGGACGCAAACTTCACTCTCTCCATGTACGCCTCGAACAGCTCCGGCGTGGCCGTGCCCGGCGCACCTATTCGACCGACCGAAATGCCATTTCAAGAAATCTTGGTTGCTGGAAGAAACAGAGGAAGGTAGACTACTTCTACTTACCGGGGACAGCGACGCATCCGAACCTCTTGCTGGAATAGAGCCGCCCTCTCCTTCCCGAGCTGCCGAGCGTGGCGCTCCGCAGTTTCTCCTTGAGGCTCTCCGCCTCCACTTCCTTCGCCCTCAGCTGTCTCTTGAGATCGTCGATCGTCGCCTCGTACGGCGCCACCGCATCCCTCAGCGGCACCGCCGTCGGCCCAGCGGCGGAGGCGCTGACGCACCCCCGCCGGAACCGATCCCTCAGCCTCCCCAGCTTCCGGAGCTCAGCCACCACCGCCGCGTCGGCCACCCGCAACTTCTCCGGGTCCCAGGGGTTGTGCGCCTCCTGAAGACCCACGTACGCCCGCTTCACCGCGGAGACCGCATCGAACACCTCGTACATGAACCCCTCCATCTCCCTGATCTTGACCTTGTGGGAAAATCCAGGGACAGTGGATGCCCTTTGACCGTCCTCTTCCCAGATCCTAAGACCCTCCTCCTCCTCCTCCTCCTCTTCTTCGTTGGGTTGTGCCTTTGCTTCCTCAGCCCGATCAATTTCGCCCTCATCGCAGTCGCCGTCTTCGAGCGCGTGGCCTCCGGGAAGACGATGTGTGAGACAGGAGGAGGCGACTCGTTGAAGCAGATCGGAGATGGTTGTCACTTTGTTCGCCATGTCTTCTTCCTGCAGCAATAATAGCGACAACCACAGAGCTAAGTGTCCACGACGAGCCCCAATGACTTGACTACTGCCACTACATATCCATTTCCAATCGACCCAATAGAAAAGAACGCTGCGTTTGGAATCACAGGTAAAGAGATGACAGCAGATGCATCATCAAGGGGGAGTAAAGCCCTCTCTACCTGGACGAAAAGGGTACGATGGATGGCTTAAAGCTGCCTGTCCTCGTGCATCTAAAAAAGATGCGTTCAAGTGGTATGGAAGCAGCGGCGATGATTTCTCATCAGAGGTCACGAGATCTCGTCTGAAGTACCAGTGTACCACTCATTGTCGTCCCGTCGGGACCATCATCCGATCCGACGGCTTAGATCCATTACCCGCAATAACTGGTTTCCGTTTACTGTAACGTTGCAACCTGTGGCTCTTTAGTCACTATGAACCTTGACTCGGTAGCATAAGAAACAGGGAACGGGTACTGTAACAGTATTAATGAGACAGTGGGCAGAGCGTCACATGTTCTGCCCGTCCATCGTAGAAGGAATCTGACGGTGGTGCGTTCTTCTCGTTGTGGCCAAGATAGGAGCAATGGGCCTGTTCATGGACGATTTCTCTCGTGATTCGTGCATCCTCCTTCTCGGAAACTGCAGAGGTGGCCATTAACATTAATTGGCTCGATGCCCCATGCTGCAGTTGTCCTATTAAGATCTACCACTTAATTGGTCTGCGAACGCGATCCACCATGGTTCAATCCGATGGTAAATTTTCCGGGTCGAGTCACAATTGTGCGCCAACTCTGACACATAACATTATATTTTATGATGTATGTCGTTTCTATGTGTATACATATAAGCCAATAGCACAGACCATACATGACATACAAGCATATATCACGCATGACACAGACATAATCATGGATGACGTAGATCCAACCTTTGGTCGGAGTTGGCTATACTCGATGGAGCAAATGTGTTCTTCGTATCAAACCCATCGTATTCCAGAAGTCTCCATCGACAACGATCGACCCCGGACAAGGGCGAGAGAGAGAGAGAGAGAACGATGTCGAGGCCGGATCGCAGCGACGCTCGTCTGCCGCCGGAAGAGGCGGCGAGGGTGGAGGCGGCTACGAGGGAGTACTTCGAGGGGATCGCCCCCAAGCGCCACACCAAACCCTCCCGGAGCGAGTACTCCTCTGTCTACTCGGACGCCCTCCAGTCGGCCGATCCTGGCTCGGTCCCCGAGCTCGACAAGCTCCGGCATCTCGAGGCCCGTCGCCAGGTTTCTTGTCACTCCGATTTCATTAATTGCCCTCTCTTTTGATTCGGATGCTGTTTTTTTTTTTTTCATCTGTTACCTCGATTCTGTATACTCTGTTCAACGATCGCTGTTGGTCCTTGGGATTCTTGGCAGAAGCTAGCTTGCGATGGCCATGAAGTGGCAGAAGAATACGTCGAGACGGAGTATTACAAGGATCTCCGCTGCATCGACAAGCAGCATCACACGGTACCATCTTTAGATGTCCTCTAATCTGCAATTACTGCACAGCTCTATTTGGTCATATGATTTGATGGAAATCTTATGAACATCTTGTGAGTTAAATGATCTATTTTTTTCTTTTGACCAAAAGGGCAAACATTATATTGTGTTTACTCCTGTTGATGTAGATCTTTAGATATCTTCTTGAATCCTTGACTACTGCATAAATTCAATTGGCCATATGATTTGATGGGAATCTTTGGAAAAATCTTGTGAACTATGGATCTACTCTTTTTCTTTGACCAGGAGGGCAAACATTATGTTGTACTTCAGTAAATATTCTACCATAATCCAAATTGTACTGCATGTGTTTTTGTTTGTTCCTTTTTATAGTGTTGTACTGCAAATTGCCAAAATAGGCATTTTGATCTCATTGATGCTCTTAAACTACCAATTTATATGCATCAAACGTGCAATATGTCGTGGACCATCTTGATCACCTTTTGAATTGTTCTCTTATATTTACGTGTTCAATTAAATTCAACACAGATATTTTGATTATCGTAACTTAGTAGTCGTATCATCTTCGTTGAGGTGGCTGCCGCTGTCAGAGACATGTAGTCGCAGGATGTTTCCGTCAACCTTAATTTCATTATTAACATGGATAATTTCCCCTTACCCTTCTCTTTCACAGAGTTGTAAGGTGACCGCCATCCATGTCCCTGCAGAAGATATTGTTTCTATTTTCTAATATGGTTAGACCATCTTCCTCCAATGTTGTAATTGCCTTACGTAACTCATTTAAAATCCTAGTTTTATCTTGAAACCAAAAAACCACAATTGTATTGTCCGTTTATCTGTGTACTTAAGCATTGTTTTTCTCCCAATATCTTGTTTGTTAACTTAATACCTTGAAAGTTACCCCTTTCGTGTTTTGTTTCTATGAATTGGCTCTCTAGACAGGAACTGGTTTCATCAAGGTGGAAAAGTCCGGCGGAAGTAGCTTTGTCCTAGGACCAGTATCTGATGCATCTAGCTACCAGGCATCTTGCAAGGGGAATCCAGCTACAAACGAATGGATTCCATCTGCTGATATAGTATGACAAGTGAAGACTGTCTTCTCTAATAGATTGATGGCTACATCCTTATATCTTCTATATACCGCATGTATCTGATCGTTTCATTCCAGGTTATCCCGAATTCAAACAAGCCTAAGAGGAGTGAGAATTAGCTTGGACGTACATGACATTCTCCAGCAGTTGGCATGCTATTGCATACATAAGCACTTGCGTACAGGTGATGCCCTATTGTTGGTTTGTTAAGGTGATTCTACTGGTGTCATGTGAACTTATCAGCATACGTATCGCATTCTCTTCCTGTAGCGTGTTTAATTGGAGCATCAAATGAACAATTGTATTGTCAAAGGAAACAAGGAACATTTAAGGGGGTCAAGGATACTTGAATGGATTAGATGCAGTGATTTTGGTATAGATTTGAATTTCGACTAGACTCAGCTTTACCATCCGAGTCTTGGTATGTTCTTTCCCTTGACATCCAAGTCCAGATCTACTTATTTCATTCGCTGAGTTAACGATTTCCACTTATGCCTAACTATGAGGCTTTTGTGCTTCAGATGGTTTGTTCTTAGCATTAGTCTCACGAGTATATAGAGCTTCTCTGATTGAAATGCCAAGCATAACTGCGTGTATATCAAATGAAGGATGTGGTCGACGAAATCTTTTTCTTGTGGGCTGATACAATTGTTTGTTGAGCCTCCCATTTGGCAGTTCTTTACCCCCATTTCAAATAATGCCAAATATTTACTGAATGCATGGTTGGAGTCTTTCGAGGTATAAGTTGTGGTCAAGATTCACGGGTGATTAATAGGAGTGTCTTGTATTTTTTTTCTCTTCTTTTTACTCTATAAACATCTCTCGGACCTTCTGTGTCATTTGGATACTATCCTCCTATCTCGTGCTTGTATTGATTTGAGCATCAACACAAGTTTTACAATAAATGCTCAAGCCATGATTCCATATCAAGGTTCGAGGTTAGCAATAGAACAAGCCAATAGAATTAGACCACATCGGTTTTTGACTTCTGTATTTCTGGTATCTTCTTTATCGTTGATACTTTACATTTTACCTCATGTTTATATTCATTTCAGCATCCCAAGTTTCACTAAGACTATAAGGTTGCTATTTAAAATCTATTTTTATTATATATTTTTAAAAATAATAAAAATAATGATTTAGCATTCACAAAATTTCTAATTTTTATTTTTATCTTCCTCTTTTATTTTTTTCCATTCTCTATAGCTTTTTCGAATCATTCATGAAAACATCGTATGAACAGTATTTTACGAATGTTCATAGATACTCTAATAGTTTTAAAGGGTTTGATATATGACATCTTCAAGGTAAATATAATTGATCTCAGAGATGATGTTTTCATTGTTATTACAGAATATATAACCCTATAAATGTAACAAATATTATGGGTTAAATATTTACATCATTAATTTTTACTAACATCCGAATGAGAGAAAATAGTTAATATTATACTTCGGATATGTTAAGATCTATAATATTTAAAATATCGATCCGAGCATTTGAATATTTCATAATTACTCATAAGATAATATATTAATATCATATATTTAGTATTTTATAAATACCTAAGAGATAATAGTCTGGATACTTTATAGAGGCTGATATCTTCTGGATCAATAAAATGAGACCTTAAAATATTAAATCATGTAAACAAACACGAAAAACTATTTCTCACCTCATTCTTTTCGATCTTTATATCATACCAATTTATCATATATATATATATATATATATATATATATATATATATATATATCATTTTAGGTCACGTTCGACGATTAAGAGAAGGAGAAGAAAGAAAAAGAAAAAAAAAGAAAATATTGTACGACGGAGTGAAAAAAGATATTATTGATATTGAATTATAAAATAAGGCTATATATGTTTATTTTATAAAAAATGATTTAAAAATATTTAAAATTTTTAAGATGAAAATTATAAATAATAAAAATAAGGCTCTAAATAGCAAACTCCTTCGGTGTATAGTGTATCCCCAGTAAAAGCCTTGCCAAAAAATCATTCTTAAGTCATGATTGTGTATAGAAATCCAAGTTAGAGGGTCAAACTATCATTTTGATTGAGAGACTCGCCACACACTAAACTTCTTCATCGGATGATAACCAAGGACTCTTCGAAGTTCACATGCGAGTGAGTAAGAGTTAGCAATACAAAATTGGATAAAAAATATAATAAAATACAAAAAAAAAAGACAGATGGAGTTGAGTTCGACAAATCAAATTTACAATCATTTTTAACACTAGAAATAATAGTCAAATATAATTATCCAAAATATTTCAAATATATATATAAATACAACAACTATGATAATATACTAGTCCATTCGAATAAATAATATAATATCATATTGATAGGGAATAAAAATAAAAAAAATTATTTAAGAAGGTAAATACATGTTGAGGAGATTCATAGATGTAATAGTTAAAAAAATAAATTGATTATTGTTGTAGGTTTTGTTAATGGTAGGAGGAGACATAGATGAATTCTTACACTTCAATAAAAATTATAAATAAAAAATTTAAAATATTTTTAATTTAATTAAATATATATCTTTTTATAAATCTCAAAGATGATAAAAGGTTTTGTTGTTGTTCTAACAATTTGTATTAGTATTTCAATATGCATATAAATAAATAAATAAATAAATATATATATATATATATATATATATATATATATATATATATATATATATATTTCATCCCAAAAAAAAAAGAAATGAAGCAAAGAAATATGAAGATTTAATATAAAAATGATAAATAACAAATACTATAAATGACATCGTTAAATGTAATTTTACATGCATATGGTTAGAGTTAGAGTTGTGGGTTAGTCTTGCCTTATTACTATATCGGGTTCGTGGATTTGGAAACCTCGAACGAAGACAAGCGATTAAGAAGCGGCCGTTCGTCGGGCGGCTGGTGGCCATCGTTTCTCCCTCCTTGCCGTCGTTGAGAGGAAGATGCGTCCGAGTTGAGGCGCGCGCGATCTCCCTCATCGCCGCTTCCCCAAACCCTAAGCCTTCTCCGAAACCATGGCCTCTGGCCAGGAGTCCTCCGGAACCACGCTCATGGATCTCATCACCTCCGATCCGGCGACGGCGGCCTCTGCTGCCCCCAGCCCCGCCCCTGCGGCTGCCCCCTCCACGCTCGGAAAGCCGGTGACCACGGATCGGAAGTCCAAGAGGGCCACCCTGACGCAGATCCAGAACGATACCATCGCCGCTGCCAAGGCCCTCAATCCCGTCAGGGCCATCCCACAGCGGCAGAAGAAGAAGGTCCAATTCATTCCCTCCAGATCTTTCTCTTCTTCCATTTTCTTTTTGGTCTGGAGAATCCTTTTCTTTGGTCTCAAGAACTGCGTACGACCTTCTTGATATCTTTTCCCCGTCTCTGACTTTGCCTAATACCTCCCTGACTTATCGAATCTGAGCAGCCGGTCTCATATGCTCAGCTGGTGAGGAGTATTCATGAACTCGCCGCCACATCCGATCAGGTCTCTGTTAATTGCGTCATTATTTATCTCTGTTTGTTGCTTAAATTGCTTGAAGGGGGAACGGATCTCTGATTGTCCATGCTGTTCTGTATAGAAAAGCTCCCAGAAGCAGCTGGTGCAGCATGTGTTCCCAAAACTTGCCGTGTACAACTCGGTTGATCCTTCAGTTGCTCCATCACTTCTCATGGTATTCCAATTTCTCAAATGTTTTTGTGTTTTGTCAAGTATCTTTGTTGACGATCATGTTGCTTCTTAGACACACTTGTGAATGCTAGACAACATAACATACCTTTGATTGTGGATCTCAAAGAAATTACATAATTCAAAAAGGGAGGTAAGATTCTGTAATAAATATAATAAATGTATTGCACCCATGCTGGACTCATATCTATGTTTCTGCATGTGCTTGGAGCTGCCAAAGAGTTGGAGTGTCTTCAGTGAGGTGCCTTTTCATTTTTTTTTTTCCTGAGAGGGAGTGAGGGTCCGAGGGGGAAAGGGGAGATGCAGAAAGAAAGAGGCCCTCAGGTTGAGTAATTAGGTTGGTTGATCAATTTTATATAAGGTAATAAAAAACTGAAACGTGTGATAACTCAGTTCAAAATAAGCAACAGAAATTCTCCATGATTTTGTGGAACTCCTTATACCATAAGTCTCTACATAAGCTACTTTCTTAAGTATCTACAGTACATTATGCAGTGTATCTTTTTCATTAATCATACACGTAGTTTCTTTGTTGCCAATGGGGAATAATTCAAAACACTTTATTTCTAGTTACTATAGTAAATTGGCTTGCGTTTTACAAATTATACATCTTTATTTAAGTTTAAGGCAAACTGTTAGTTGGTCAAGTGTATCACTGTACATATAAGTGTATCTATTGATTAAATTAACTTCGTTGCATGTGAGGCACATTGACTCTCTCAAGCCACTTGCAATCTGGCATCTTTATGACACAATTTATTTGCAAATTTTAACACAATGATAAGGTAACAGTTGAATTGGTTGTTTCTGCAACTTCAACTACAAAAAAGAAATAGAAACTACAAATGCTTGAGATAGGGGCCATAAAGTATAGGTGCTCCAGAGAGCTTGTTCATTATAGGACTTGGATTGCTCTGGTTGTGAATAATCATGGTGTTGTGATTAGATCCAAGAATTTTGACAAAAAACAACACAGCTGGCTTGGTGGTGGTATGTGAACACTTCAATTTGCATGTGTCTGGGCCCATGTCAGTATGGATCTGGTCATGACTAATCAAGGTGTTTTGATCGGATCCTAGGATCTGGCCAAAATGACACAACCTAGGGTGGTGGTGGGGGACCTCCAATTTCAAAGTACTCATGAAGAGATCTTTTTAGTTTTGACAGGGTCAAGAAATTTATAAATAGCTGTTTTATAAGGTCGTTGATGACTATGAAAATGGTGCAAAGGTAATGCAGGGAAGAGGCAACACTGAAGAGAAGGGTACCACATTTAATAGGAGAAAATACAAATTATAAATTCTGTAAGCCTCGACTTTTACATTGGTTTTTATCCCATCTATTCGTAGTTGGGTTCTATTGGCTTGTTTCAGGTTCTGTGGTCTAGATTTTGTTACAATTATTCTTTCTAGTGACATGAATTTATAACCACACGTTAAAAATTTTAATTTAACAGCACACATCACATATGTTATTCATTGCAAGCTCATGTATGCCAGAATGAAACAAACTCATGATGTTTTACCTTTTGACAGCTTCACCAGCAATGTGAAGACAGGAATGTTCTACGATATGTTTACTACTACTTGGCCAGAATTTTGTCTGACAGTGGTTCACAAGGTTTAAGTCCAGGTGGTGGAATTCCTACACCGAACTGGGATGCACTTGCTGATATTGATGCTGTTGGAGGGGTCACACGAGCAGATGTGATACCTCGAATAGTAAATCAACTTACTGCTGATGCCACAAATGCTG